TGTCTAAGGACCAGCGATACCCGATTGAACCGATGGGTAGAGACTGCAGCTCTGCCTTGGTTCGCTCCAGCTTTGCCTTGCTCTGGCTGCATGGCTCACATCTGGCCAGCACTTCCTTCACTTCTCTTCTCAGGCCCGCCCACCAGTACATGGTCTGCAGCATCTGTACGGTCCGTTCCACGGCATAGTGCCCCAACTGTGTATGTACTTTCACGATTCAGGGCCTCCCTTTCCTCTGGCCGTGGCACTATCCGCCACCCATCTTCTGTCACCAGCTGCTGCTGATCCGTCTGCCATCGGTAATGCACCCCCCCGCACTCGCACCCTCTCAGGAACTTCTTCCCCTTCCGGTCCCCTGCCCTGAACCCCAGGCGAGCACTGGCTGGTCTTCCCAAATCTCTCAACTGCCCTTTGCTGTCTCTGTCTTCCGGTTCCATCCCTCCTTCTCCAGGGCCACCGCCATACAAGTAAGTGCGGCCTCTGCCCGCACCTCTCTCCTCTCGTCTCCCTCTTGCCTCTGGCGAGTTAGGCCATCCACATGCTGCAAAGTCTTTCCCCGGTCGATGCTTCACGTCGAACTCGAACTCCTGTAGATGCATAGCCCATCGAGCGTTCCGGTCCTTCAGGGTTTGGTTCGTCATCAGCCAGAGCAGTGGTTGGTGATCCGTCACCAGCGTGAACTTCCTCCCCTGCAAGTAGGGCCGGAACAGCTCTACCGCCCACACTGCCGCCAACCCCTCTCCCTCGTACGAGCTATAATTGCTCTCCGCCGGGCTACATGACCTGCTGACGTACGCCACCACCCTCTCTGTTCCTTTTTCCTCCTGACAGAGCACGGTGCACATCCCACTGCTGCTCCAGTCTGTGTACAGCAGGAAAGGCTCGTCTGGGTTAGGCAGCTTCAGCAGCGGCGCCGTCTTCACGGCCTCCTTGAGGGTGGTCCATGCTCTCTCTTGCTCTTTCCACCACTTCCATCCTTCATCCTTTCTCAACAACTGACTTAGTGGCTTGGCTGTCTTGCTGAAGTTCGGGATGAACCTGCGGTAGTAGCTCAGGAATCCCAGCTGCGCTCTTAGCGTGCTACAATCCGTGGGCGCCTTCAGCCTGTCAACCACCTCCACCTTCGCCTGCTGCACCGAGAGCCCGCCTTCTCCCACCTGAAACCCCAGGTAAGCTACTGTCGTAACCCCGAAGTGGCATTTCTTTGGATAGTCGCTAAGGTCGCCACCACGTTAGCTACGTCATCTGGCTGTAGATGACGACGTCATCAATGTAGCACAGTGCCCGCGGCACCTCCTGGAGGACTTGGTCCATTACTCTTTGAAACTTTGCAGAGGCGTTCTTCAAGCCAAATGGCATGAAGTTCTATTCGAAGAGCCGGTCTGGACCGTGAAACGCGGTCTTGGCCTTATCTTCTTCCTTGATCGGGATCTGATTGAATCCCTGCCGGAGGTCTAAAGTTGAGTAAATCCTCCCTTCCGCCAGCTTGTCAAAAATCTCCTCCGCCATCGGCATGGGGTACCTATCGCTCTTCGTCATGCGGTTCAGGCCTCGATAATCCTCCCACATCCGTCTTGCTAGCATTTCTCCTGTCAAGTACTTGTGTACCGCTACCACAGTTGCCGCTGCATACTCTGATGTTGATTCTTGAATCAAGCTGGCTGCTAGCACCTCTTTGCATTTGGCCAATTGATGTCGCGATCCCCTGGACTCAGTCTCCGTCTCCTTTGATACACAGGCTCAGAGCTCTGCAAATCAATCTCCATCTCTGTCCGGTTACACTTGCCCAGTTCTGCCAGTGAGTATGCGAAGGCGTCTCTGGCCTTCTCGAGTACCCCCGTTAGTTCCTCCTTCTGTCCCTCCTCCAGCCCCTCCCCTATGTCCCACTGACTCTCCTCAGGGGGAGCGTCCCTAAGGGGGGGGGGCTCTGCCTCCAGCTCCTCGTTCGTATCTTGCCGCTCCTCAGCCTCCTGCGTTGCTCTCGCCAAGAGGCTGATTCATCTGCTATTCAAGCACTCTTCATCCCGCCTACCTTCCTCCCTTGCCTCCACTTTCATCCTTCGCCATGCCTTCGCTATGTCCATGGCTTGAACTGGGTCTGCCTCTAGCATTTCTTCTATATCCCTCCACCTCCAAATCATCAGCAGCCGCTTGTGCATTGCCTCCTATCGCTTCTCTGCCCGGTACATCAACCATACCAGTGTGTGCTGATCTATCGCTCCCCCTAGAGCTCGCCACCTCTCTGCTTCCGTCACTCCCTCTACTGCGGTTGCATTTCTCAAGTACCCTATTGCCCGCTCTCGCTCCACTGCCAAGGGTTCCTCCCATTCTCCAGTGGACAGGACCTGCACCATTCCGGGCCCTGGCTGTCCATCCTGCATCCGGAAGGCATAGCTGCCTGGGGTCGCTACCAGCGTGGGCCAGGCCTGACGTGGTGCCCCCACTTCATTGCATGGGTACTACACTCGAGCGTCGGGCATGGTTACCGGAGCAGCCCGCCTGCCTGGTTCCAAGATGTCCGTCTCAAAATCGTACGTGGGCTCTGTCAAGCCCTTTGCTTCACGGCACTCTTCCACTCTCGGGCCGGCTGCTTCCTCCCATCTCCGCCTCTCACTGCTCTTCTCCAGGTACACTCCAGCATCCTTGAATCGGTTTTCAGGCACCCGGTCTGCGGACGGCTCCCTGTACACGGGTCTCCCTCTCAGGAACCGAGCGGGCAATACAGCCGCTGTACTCTCTTCTCGCCGTAAGTCTGCATCCCAGTATCATGGCTGGTACGTGACCTTCTCTGCCCAGGTGTCCACGACTGCCCCGATTTTTTACAACAGCTCCATACCTAGCAATAGATTGTAATCATCGGAATCCGAGATGAGGCAGTGCACCCTGAGTCTCGCTTCGTTCTCTTTCCCGGGAGCCAACACTACCTCCTGCAAACGCAAGGTCCTTGGCAGGCATTTGCCTACCCCCCCTTTCTGCTGTCGGTATCCTCACCCCTTCAGGTGTCACGTTTTCCTCTTGGTGGAGCCCCAAATGCTCGGCCAGTCGCCTACCGATCAGCACCTGGGAGGCACCCATGTCAATGATCGTCGTACCTAGGTAATTTCCTTCTACCTCCACGGACCCTTCCACTGCTTCCACCACGCACGGACGTGCCGCCATACGCTCAAAGGGATGCATGCGTGGCCCATGGCTGCCCCCTGCACGTGCCACTGCCTCCGCTACAGCTTCCGCTGCACGCTGCACCGCTGGGGAGGGCTCCATCCTCGGCCCTCTGTGCCCCTGTTGCATATCTCGGCGTCCATCTCTGCCCCCGATGCGCAGCCCCAGGTCTTCTCGGTCTCGATCTCTCCCCGAGGCCATGAAGAAGGGCTCTGGCAGCTCCCCCTTATCCTCTTGGTCTGTTCAAGCCATTAGTGCTCCCTAGTCCTCCTCTTCCTCGCTGCCCTCCGCCTCCCCCTTGAGCTTCCTGAGCTCTTCTTCCAGTGCTTCTATGCGACTGCGTCTGCCCCCACAGCTCCGTTCCTCACTCTGCTTCGTGTAGCAGTCGTCGGCCGCATGCCCCTTTCGCTGGCAATATGTACAGGATTGCAACTTGGGGCAGTCTCGTTTGAAGTGCCCGGGCTCCCTGCACTTATAGCACACAGGCTCTTCACCCGGGGGCGGAGTCGCACTTTTTGCCCTCCTCGCCCGTCCCCTCTGATTCCTGCCTTCCAGCCCTCCTTCCTCATCTCCTTCGCTGTCTGCCATCATGGCTCCACCCCAGCTTACTCCCCTGCGATCACGCTCGTGGGGCATGGTCCGTTCTGCCCTCTTCCCGAGGTCATACATGCTCAGGGACTGCTCATTCCGCCATGCTATCGCATACGCCTGACGAAGCGTGGCGTTCGGCCGTAGGTTGTACGTGTGGTCTCGCACCGTCCCCACCAGATCTCTCGACAGCCCATCTAGGAACTTCGCCACCACTATCCGTGGCTCGTTGCAGCTGATGACGTCAGCCAGCTGATCCACCCGCCGGTAATACGCTAGCAGTGACTCTCTTGAGGCCCTCCGCAGCTGCTCAAACTCTCTTAGCCGCGCCGCGTCTGCGTGGGGAAATGGACCTGCAGCTCGGCGAGGAACCTCTCCGTCGGATCTCTTAGCATCAAGATCCATCCCTCCTCATCGCAGCAAACCCGGCCCAAAGCATCCCGCTCCTCTTCCTGCAGCAGCAGATCGCGCACTTCCAGTAAGAACGCCTCCACGTCTCCGGCCAGCGTGTTCCCCAGGGAGCGAAAGAAGTGCCTTAAGTCCAATCCATCTTGCTCCCAGCAGAACTTCTCGCAGTGGATGTGCATCACATACGCCTTAAGCCGCGTCCCAATCTCCTGGTCGCCCGTAAAGCGAGCTGGAACCTCCACTTTCGGAAGGCTGGTGTAGCAATATCTCGTCCCCTCCTCCCACAAGGACCGCCTTGACGGCCCTCCCACGGACGCGCCTCTCCCCCCGATGGCACCTCCGCCACCCATCTCGCTTAAGCGCGCAGATGTGGCGACCTCTGCGGATCCGGCTGCCCTCGAGTCCGAGACCCCTCTGCTGCGCTCCGCGATGCCCGAAGGGATTCCTCCTCTTCCCGCCGATGGGATTCCTTCTCCCGGATGGCGATCTGCTCGCATGGCGAAACTGCTAGAGCCACAAATCTCCTCGTCCCACTCTTGCGCTCCTTCGCCAGCCTTCTCGCGCGGAGATTCGCGCTTATCCTCGGACGATTCCCCTCGCTGTTCTTCGCCTCCTTCGTTTGGTGACACGTTCTCCTCCCCCAGCGGGGGAGTCTCTCCCACAGGTAGGCGCATGCCGCTACGCAGTGACATGCCCACCATAACTCTGTTTGTACGAAAAAGCCCAAGACTCAATCTCGCATCCTGATCCTCTCAACTGCACCTCTGTCCGACCTCCCTACATGGATCTAGCGTTGCTCAAGAGTAAATCCACTAGTAAGAGAGCATACAGGCTTTCCCATGATAACGAGAGAACAAACAGAGTAGCAACAACTACCCCTCCTTACTACTTTTGTGCTCCTCCTCCTAGCAGTCCCACTCCGAAGCCAAACCCTGCCCTCCCAGCTGCTTCCGCTGCGCGCCGTTTTGGGAGTTTCTCCTACTATGATGGCCCTGTGATTCCTGCCATCGACTCACCTCTCTCATTCGCCGCAAGCCACTGCCCAAACCGCTCCTCATGCTTACTTACGTGTCATGCCCCAACTTGCTTCCTTCCCACCTGGCCAACCGCTCCCAACTCGCCCATCACTGTACCTTTATCAAAAGTGCCGTTGGCTATGTACACTAAATATACTTGCTTACAATATTCTCTGAACCTCACATTCCGCGCCTGCACCTCCCGTGCTGTCCCATGAAACTCGGTAATGGGTACAACGAGGTTCATGCGACACAGCTGCAATATGCCTCGATTCATTGAACAGAATTGGTTTGATCAACGAAGGATCTGTAATCGAATATAGGATTTCTTAGGTCATGTCTGCTATCAAATCAGGTTGTCCTTCTGCAAATTTCGTGTCTTGCTTACCAGCCTCGAGACTAGAAACTATACTTGCATAATTGCATACAACCCTATGCACATATGCACACACGCCCATGCATACATGCACACATGCACGTCCTTCATTGCTCGCATTTTCCATGACTACTTTTCAAGTCCTGTCCCACACCCGTGGCCAGTCACACACCCATGGCCTGTCACACACCCATGGCCTGTCACGCACCCATGTCCTGTCAAACACCCATGTCCTGTCACACACCCATGGCCTGTCACACACCCATGGCTTGTCACACACCCATGGCCTGTCACACACCCATGGCCTGTCACACACCCATGTCCTGTCACACACCCATGTCCTATCACATACCCATGGCCTGTCACACACCCATGGTCTGTCACACACCCATGGCCTGTCACACACCCATGGTCTGTCACACACCCATGTCATATCACACACCCATGGCCTGTCACACACCCATGGCCTCTCACACACCCATGGCCTCTCACACACCCATGTCCTATCACACACCTATATCTTGTCACACACCCATGTTCTGTCACACTTCCATGTCCTGTCACACACCCATGTCCTGTCACACACCCATGTTCTGTCAGACACCCATGTCCTAGTGGGCGCACACTACTAGCCTTTAAAACACCCATCATGAAACTCTTTTATTATTCAGTTTCGCTTTACCCTTCCCCTCTCCCTTCGCCCCTGTCCCGTCACGCCCATTTTCTTCCCCCGTCGCCCCCTTTCACTCGCCCACCACCCATTTTATATCTCTCGCGCCCATTTTCCAACCCCACGTCACAAAAATGTGGATCTCACCTATATTGTAGGTATAGTTGTTCGTATAGCAAGGCTACTCCGTAGCAGACGTATCTATGCCGTACCTACTGTATACCTACTCCGTATTTATGGTCCTCGTATTTTGGGACGCACCAATGCATTGCCTTGTACAAAAGCCATCTCCTTTGGAGCTCGCCCACTCCATCCCTTCTCATGGCGAAATAGGGAAAGATACACACAATGGATCATATGCTATATTGACATAGTAATTTCCTCTGTAGATATGGCCCTTGGCGCGTACGAGGACGGAGTGTATGGTTCAAGTTGGAGTCGCGTACTTACATTACATTACTAGTCAACTTCACGGAACAAGAGCAGATGCTTTCAGAGCGGTACCATGGGTTCCCTTGATCTTTCGCGTGCGCTCTATTCTGACATGGTTTTGCATCCTCAGCCGCATCACACGGCTCAGCAGCACTCAAGTTCAGGCCTGAGATGCAACACGTATGAGGCTGACTCGGGAAAAAAAATCGTCAATCCGATTGGTTGGGGCATCGTTTGACAAACGCAGTCGCATCCAGGCTACGAACACACGAACCGCCGAACGGAACCCATGTTCGAAGGCTAGTTGCCCTGAACGTATAATATTTGAGGGTATGTCGGGGCATTGATTTTGGAATTCTAGTTTCGAAACATTTTTCAAGTGGCGACGCGGGGATCTGGACAATTTAGACGTAAACATTTCTACCACCTGCCATCCCTTTTCATTTTCAATAGTGATGTCGGGAACCTTGTTTTCGTCAAAGCACGCCTCCCGCCAGGGGGCTATGCTCGACGAGCAACTACCCAAATGCTGATTCTTTAACGGGTGGCTTTTGACCGGAACGCCCTCTTTGACGGATTCGGGTCCCACCGACTCCGCTGGTCTCGGGTCTCTTTTTGCTCGAACCTGGCTTTTAACCTAGGTTCTGGCAGATTTTGACCCGAAAACGGGCCCTGACGGGTACGAAGTCCCCCAGATGACGACTGGTTAAAAATCCATTCTGAAGCAACGCGCCCCCAGAGTAAATCCTGAGGGGTACCATGGTCCATCCATGGGTTCCCTCGTTCAGGGAACCCTCCTCCGCAACAAAGCCCCACATCCCCAGCCGCATCATACGGCTCACACACAGCCAACGCGTTTCGAGACCCACACAAAAATCAATCGCCAATCCGATTGGTTGGGGCATTGCATCACTCGAAACGGAGTGCTTTTGTAGCCGAGGTTCAACACAAAACAAGCAGCCATACCACGATAAAACGCATGAGACCGCGTGTTTATTCTCTACACCGCTTGCCACCCATTTTTCATTTTCGAGCGTGAGTCCCGGAACCCTTCGTTTCCCCCACAGCGCACCTCACGCGCCGAGAACCCAGCCGCTTCTGCTCCAACGAATGCTCATCGCCAGAGCATAAAGCAGAGCCCTGTTCTGCTCGATACATGATCACACAAGCACGTGAACACACATTGCCCAGAAACACCCGATCTTTCTGCTTCTCTCTTCCGCCGAGTAGTCCTCTCAAAGACTTCGAGCTTCTCTCCCCTCTTCACTCGTTCCGTCGAGAAATTCTCTCGTTCCCTCTTTTCCAAGCGCGAGGCATGGCGTCGTGGTGGAACCAGCTGGCGATTCTCGGCATTTGCGCGCTGGTCGCGGTGCTCGTCGCGCCGGCGGCGGCGAAGCGGCCCAGCAAGGAGGAGGTGATCGCCGAGGTGAAGAGCGCGCGCGATGCACTCAAGAACCCCGCGATTTCCAGCAAATACCGGATAACCACCACCTTCCTCGACCACTTCATCCCGAAATTGGGTAAGTAGCATGCAAGCTCTCTGTAAAAAGCTACATCTCTCGGCATGTTTAAACCGGGGTTACAACTCGTCAACACCTTTTGCGCTCAACCATTAGTCCTCGTTCTCCTCAACACATGGCATGTGTTGACGAAATCAAGCTCTGGTTTCTTGTGTTGGTGTGAGCAATGCAATGCAATGCTTCAGAGAGCGACTGGAATCCGACGGACGAGACGCTCGGCAAGCTGGACCGCAAGGCCATGCTCTTCCCCGCGGACGACGCGCTGCTCACCTCCGACTCCGCCGGCGCGGGCGTGAGCATGATGCTGAACCCGAACGCGGACCTGGAGGACGCCAAGGGGTACTGGAACTGGCTACGCGCCAACATGGTGGACGGGCTCTACTCGGAGCAGGAGATGAGCGACGCGCGTGAGCTCAAGGACGTGAATGGCCGCAAGATGGGCAAGAGTGAGGACGCGGCGGCGAATCTGAGGGGGGGGAGGAAGATGCGGTTCGGGAAGGCCAACGCGCAGATTAACGACCCTGAGATTTTCAAAGGGAAGTTTCTGATCGTTCATGGTGTGGACGCTCTGCAGTCGCCGTACTGACCCGCCTGCCGGAATCAAAGCGTTTGTGCGAAAAGGCTGATCAGCTCCGTAGGCCCTACAACTATTGGAGAAAATCTCGCGAATCCCGTTCCGCAGCGAAAATTGGAATATAATCGCGCGAGACGGGATTCGTGAGATTCGCGAGATTTTCTCCAACTATTGTGTTTTCCTTGGTGCTCGCATGTGTCTAGATTACGCGTTCCTGGGTAGAGCTATCTGTACTGGACTGGGTGGAGCAACGCATTAGTGTGACGGTGCTTGGCTGGAGGCTCCAGCAACTAGCTGGGGTTTACGGAGGGGGGGGTAGTGGTTTGGAGAAATGCCTTGTTCCGTGTACAAACTTCTGGTAGTAATCATTTACTAGTTGGTGTTTTTGAAGTTGCTTCCATACAAAACTTTTCATGCAAAAGGCCACGCTGTCCTTGTCCATGCATCCTGTTTAGAGTCTCTTCAAATTACGATATGGAAGCTGGGCATTGAGCCGCTACAGGTAGGATAGGAAATTACACCAGATAAAGAAAGAGTGCCGCTGATACACAGAATGCCCGTTGATTTGAAACAACCTTACAGAATGGTCGTCTGCACAGGAGGCTAGCTCCAAGCAGCTTCCTTCCCCCTTTCCTACGCCCGCCTCCCTACTACTATCCTCAACCCTCGTCCCTCCTGCCCTGCTATCTCCCCTCCCACCCTCCCCTCGCCATCGCAGCCTATGAACAGCTGCCAGGTGGCAATGAATGTTCCCAAGGTCAGATTCCCAGGTCAGATTCCCAGGTCAGATTCCCAGGTCAGATTCCCAGGTCAGATTCCCAGGTCAGATTCCCAGGTCAGATTCCCAGGTCAGATTCCCAGGTCACGTCCCCAGGTCAGATTCCCAGGTGAGATTTTGAGGTGAGATTCCCAGGTCACATAGTCAGTCAGTTTCCCAGGTCACATTCCCAGGTCAGATTCCCTGGTCAGATGCCCAGGTCAGATTCCCAAGGTCACATTCCCAGGTCAGATTCCCAGGTCACATTCCCGGGTGAGATTCCTAGGTGATGTTCCCGAGTCAGAATCCCAAGTCAGATTCCTATGTCCAAATCCCAAGCCAGATTCCCAAGTCAGATTCCCTGGTCAGATTCCCAGGTGAGATTCCTGAGTAAGATTCCCTAGTCGGATTCCCAAGTCAGATTCCCAATTCAGATTCCCAAGTCAGATTCCCAGGTCAGATTTCCAGGTCAGATTCCCAGGTGAGAATCCCAGGTGAGATTCCCAAGTGAGATTCTCAAGTGAGATTCCATGGTGAGATTCCTGAGTCAGATTCCCAAGTCATATTCCCAGGTCAGATTCCCAGGTCACATTCCCAAGTTAGTCAGTTTCCCAGGTCAGTCGGAGTCAGATTCCCAGGTCACATTCCCAGGTCATATTCCCAGGTCAGCTGCCCAGGTCAGATTCCCAAGGTCACATTCCCAGGTCAGATTCCCAAGTCAGATTCCCAGGTCGCATTCCCACGTGAGATACGCAGGTGATGTACCCGAATCAGATTCCCCCAAGTCAGATTCCTATGTGAAATTCCCAAGTCAGATTCCCAGGTCGGATTTCCAGGTCACATTCCCAGGTCAGACTCCCAAGTCAGATTCCCACGTCACATTCCCAGGTCAGATTCCCAAGATCACATTCCCCGGTCAGATTCCCAGGTCAGTTTCACAGGTTACATTCCCACGTGAGATTTGCAGGTGATGTTCCCGAGTCAGATTCCCCCAAGTCAGATTGCAACGTGAAATTCCCAAGTCAGATTCCCAGGTCACATTCCCAGGTCAGATTCCCAGGTCAGATTCCTGAGTCATATTCCCTAGTCGGATTCCCAAGTCAGATTCCCGAGTCAGATTCCCAGGTCACATTCCCAGGTCATATTCCTAGGTCAGCTGACCAGGTCAGAGTCCCAAGGTCACATTCCCAGGTCATATTACCAGGTCACATTCCCATGTTAGACTCGCAGGTGATGTTCCCGAGTCAGATTCCCCCAAGTCAGATTCCTATGTGAAATTCCGAGGTCAGATTCCCGGGTCAGATTCCCAGGTCAGGTTCCTGAGTCATATTCCCTAGTCGGATTCCCAAGTCAGATTCCCAAGTCAGATTCCCAAGTCAGATTCCAAGTCAGACTCCCAGGTCAGATTCCCAAGTCAGATTCCCAGGACAGATTTCCAGGTCACATTCCCAAGTGAGAATCCCAGGTGAGATTCCCAGTTGAGATTCTCAGGTGAGATTCTCAGGTGAGATTCCCAGGTGAGATTCCCTGGTGAGATTCCTGAGTCAGATTCCCAAGTCAGATTCCCAGGTCAGATTCTCTGGTGAGACTCCTGAGTCAGATTCCCGAATCAGATTCCCAAGTCACATTCCGAGGTCACATTCCCAGGTCATATTCCTTGGTCAGCTGCCCAGGTCAGATTCCCAAGGTCACATTCCCAGGTCAGATTCCCAGGTCAGATTCCCAGGTCACATTCCCACGTGAGATTTGCAGGTGATGTTCCCGAGTTGGTTCCCCCAAGTCAGATTCCTATGTGAAATTCCCAAGTCAGATTCCCAAGTCAGATTCCGAGGTCGGATTCCCAGGTGAGATTCCTGAGTCAGATTCCCTAGTCGGATTCCCAAGTAAGATTCCCAGGTCAGATTCCCAACTCAGATTCCCAGGTCAGATTCCCAGGTCAGATTTCCAGGTCAGATTCCCAGGTCAGATTTCCAGGTCAGATTTCCAGGTGAGAATCCTAGGTGAGATTCCTAGGTGAGATTACCAGGTGAGATTCCCTGGTGAGATTCCTGAGTCAGATTCTCAAGTCAGATTCTAAAAATCATATTCCCAGGTCAGATTCCCAGGTCACATTCCCAAGTCAGTCAGTTTCCCAGGTCTGTCGGATTCCCAAGTCGGATTCCCAGGTCGGATTCCCACGTGAGATTCCTGAGTCAGATTCCCTAGTCGGATTCCAAAGTACGATTCCCAAGACAGATTCCCATGTCAGATTCCCAGGTCAGATTCCCAGGTCAGATTTCCAGGTCAGATTCCCAGGTCAGATTTCCAGGTCAGATTTCCAGGTGAGAATCCTAGGTGAGATTCCCAGGTGAGATTTCCCTGGTGAGATTCCCTGGTGAGATTCCTGAGTCAGATTCTCAAGTCAGATTCTAAAAATAATATTCCCAGGTCAGATTCCCAGGTCACATTCCCAAGTCAGTCAGTTTCCCAGGTCACCTTCCCAGGTCGTATTCCCAGGTCAGCTGCCCAGGTCAGATTCCCAAGGTCACATTCCCAGGTCAGATTCCCAGGTCACATCCCCATGTGAGATTCGCAGTTGATGTTCCCGTATCAGATTCCCCCCAAGTCAGATTCCCAGGTCGGATTTCCTGGTCAGATTTCCAGGTCAGATTCCCAGGTGAGATTCCTGAGTCCCGATTCCCAAGTCAGATTCCCAGGTCACATTTCCAGGTCTGATTCCCTGGTCAGATGCCCAGGTCAGATTCCCAAGGTCACATTCCCAGGTCAGATTCCCACGTGAGGTTCGCAGGTGATGTTCCCGAATCAGATTCCCCCAAGTCAGATTCCTAATTGAAATTCCCAAGTCAGATTCCCAAGTCAAATTCCCAGGTTAGATTCCCAGGAGAGATTCCTGAGTCAGATTCCCGAGTCAGATTTCCAAGTCAGATTCCCGAGTCAGATTCCCAGGTGAAATTCCCACGTGATATTCCAGAGTCAGATGCCCAAGTAAGCTTCCCAAGTCAGATTCCCAGGTTAGACTCCCAGGTCAGATTTCCAGGTGAGATTCCCAGATGAGATTCCCAGGTGAGATTCCCAAGTCAGATTCCCTAGTCTGATTCGCAAGTCAGAATCCCAAGTCTGATTCTTGAGCCAGATTTCCAGGTCAGATTCCCAATTATTGCCATGAGCATAGTAATCTCACTCCAAATTTTCTTTCCCTTTATCAGGATCCCATAATGATCCTGTCAAATTCCCAGGTGAGATTTTCAAGTCAGATTTCCGAGTCAGAATCCCAAGTCGGATTACCAAGTCGCATTCCCAAATCAGATTCCCAGGTCACATTCCCTGGTCACAATCCCAGGTCAGATTCCTGGATCAGATTCCTAGGTTAGATCCCCAAGTCAGATTCCAAGGTCTGTCAGTTTCCGAAATCAGTCAGATTCCCAAGTCAGATTCGGCAAGAGATTTCCAGGTGAGATTCCCAAGTTCGATTTCCTAGTCAGAATCCCAAGTCAGCTATCCAAGTCAGATTCCCAAGCCAGATTCCCACGTCATTTTTCCAGGTCAGATTCCCAGGTCAGTTTTTTTAGGTGAGATTCCCAGGTCAGATCCTTAAGTCAGATTCCCAAGCCCCAGGTCTGATTCCCGTTGTCACGTATGCTCTCGTATACCCATGTTATATTAGTTTTGCGTGTCAGGTACGTATAATCTTTTTCCCATTGTCATTTCCAATCTCAGATTCCCGCTTTCAGATTCCCATTTCCAATTCTTAGTGCCAACTTTCCATGTCAGACTTCCGTTGCCAGATTTCCATATCAGATTCATCTGTCAGAATCTCATTGTCACATTCACCCACAGCCACATTCCATTTTCCAATTCCCGTGGTCAGATTCTCACTTCATTCTTCTTTTTTCCCCAGATTCCAGCTGACTACGTTCCAGCTGCTCGAATCCTATATATTCCCCGTTGTTCAATTATTACTGTCAGATGCTGACTGTCAGAATTCTATGTCAGATTTCTGAGCCAGATGATTCCCATTGTCAGATTTCCGTTGTTAGATAGCCATGGCATATACTCATGTCATGTTCCCGCTTCATTTTTCCATGTCAGGTTCGTATTCCCCAATCCCCCGTAGTCAGTTCTCTATTGTCAGAATTGTAATTTTAGATTCCCGTCTACAATTCCCAGTGCCGACGTTCCATGACTGACCTCATTGTCAGATTCCCATCTCAGGAATTCACAGTCGAATCCCCATTGTCAGATTCACCCTTAGTCAGGTTCCTTTGTCAAAACCTGTCACCAGATTCTTATTGCATATCAACATAACAGCTTTTGATGCTTTCGCACTCTCATGCCTCATTCACCCTGATTCCTGCCATCGACTCACCTCTCTCATTCGCTGATTTTACTGCCCAAACCGCTCCTCATGCTTACTTACGTGTCATGCCCCAACCTGCTTCCTTCCCAGCTGGCCAACCGCTCCCAGCTCGCCCATCACTGTACCTTTATCGAAAGATTCGTCGGCTATGTACACTATATACACTTGCTTACAACATTTTCCGAACCTCTAATTCCGCACCTGCACCTCCCGCGCTGTCCCATAAAACTCGGTAACGGGTACAACGAGGTTCATGCGACAGCTGTCGCATAGCCTCCTCCCCTCCCCGCAGCTCTCATCTGCAATGCCTAACCTGGTTCCTAAGATTCTTTGCCTTCCCTACGCTTGTATGTGATGAGTTTCGACTCCCCTGACTCATGCCCCCTCTCGGTCTGCCCTGCGCCCCCGCTGCTTGGTCGCGAACCGGATGCTCGGGCGACATTCGTCACATGATCCTGAACCGACCTCCCTGGCGCATTCTGTAGTGTCAGGACCCCCGACTCCTCCTTCCTGCGCACGACCCACCGCTGCTTACTCAGGCCACACTCCAGCGTATTATGCCGCGGCTCCTTCAGGTACACCTCATCCCCAATTTGCAGCTCAGTCCCATGCCTAGGTCCTCCACCTACTCCTTCCTTCCGCTGTCGGTAGCATCGAGCATCACGGAGCTGCGCCACTTCCAGATTTTCCAAGGCTGCTGGCAGCACGCTGCGGAGGTAGCTAGCGCATCTGGCTGCCACCGCCGCCCAGGTGCGCGGGTCGTCAGTGGACACCGACTGCACCATTATCAGTGGAGCGTCCACCGGCAGCACTGGCTCCTTCCCGAAAACCAGATAGTACGGGGAATAATCCTTCAGAGCCTGCTGTTTGCTGAAGCGATACCCCGCCGCCACCCACGGCAGATGTTGGTCCCACTCCCTTTGCTCTTCCTCCTTGCAGTACTTCCTCAGGCCCATCTTCAGAGTCTGGACCATTCACTCTGTCAGGCCATCAGCCCGGGGATGGTACCGTGAAGTCCGCCGCTGGGTGATGCCCACCTCTTGCAGCAGGCCGTGGAATTCTCCCGCAAATTCTCCACCCTTGTCCGTCAGAACTTCCCCACATGCGCCGACCTGGTTACGACTTGCTGGGTGAAAGCCTTTGCCACTGCTGCTGCTGTCTTCCATGCCAGTGCTGCCACCTCTATCCACTTGCTCGTGAGCTCGATCATCACGGAATGTATTGCTTGCCTCGCCGAGATAGCGGCATTTCCCCCACCATGTCTAAGGACCAGCGATACCCGATTGAACCGATGGGTAGAGACTGCAGCTCTGCCTTGGTTCGCTCCAGCTTTGCCTTGCTCTGGCTGCATGGCTCACATCTGGCCAGCACTTCCTTCACTTCTCTTCTCAGGCCCGCCCACCAGTACATGGTCTGCAGCATCTGTACGGTCCGTTCCACGGCATAGTGCCCCAACTGTGTATGTACTTTCACGATCAGGGCCTCCCTTTCCTCTGGCCGTGGCACTATCCGCCACCCATCTTCTGTCACCAGCTGCTGCTGATCCGTCTGCCATCGGTAATGCACCCCCCGCACTCGCACCCTCTCAGGAACTTCTTCCCCTTCCGGTCCTTTGGGGTTTGGTTCGTCATCAGCCAGAGCAGTGGTTGGTGATCGGTCACCAGCGTGAACTTCCTCCCCTGCAAGTAGGGCCGGAACAGTGCTATCCCCCACACTGCCGCTAACCCCTCTCCCTCGTACGAGCTATAATTGCTCTCCGCTGGGCTACATGACCTGCTGGCGTACGCCACCACCCTCTCCATTCCTTTTTCTTCCTGACAGAGCACAGTGCACATCCCACTGCTGCTCCAGTCTGTGTACAGCAGGAAAGGCTCGTCTGGGTTAGGCAGCTTCAGCAGCAGCGCCGTCTTCACGGCCTCCTTGAGGGTGGTCCATGCTCTCTCTTGCTCTTTCCCGCCCTTCCATCCTTCATCCTCACTTAACAAACTGATTTAGTGGCTTGGCTGTCTTGCTGAAGTTCGGGATGAACCTGCGGTAGTACCTCAAGAATCCCAGCTGCGCTCTCAGAGTGCTACGATCTGTGGACGCCTTCAGCCTGTCAACCACCTCCGCCTTCGCCTGCTGCACCGAGAGCCCGCCTTCTCCCACCTGAAACCCCAGGTAAGCTACTGTCTTAACCCCCAAGTGGCATTTCTCTGGATGGCACGTCAACCCCGCCACCTGGATAGTCACTAAGGTCGCCGCCACGTCAGCTACGTGTTGCTCACCCATCTGGCTGTAGATGACGACGTCGTCAATGTAGCATAGTGCCCGCGGCACCTCCTGGAGGACTTGGTCCATTACTCTTTGAAACTTTGCCGATGCGTTCTTCAAGCCAAATGGCATGAAGTTCTATTTGAAGAGCCGGTCTGGACCGTGAAACGCGGTCTTGGCCTTATCTTCTTCCTTGATTGGGATCTGATTGAATCTCTGCCGGAGGTCTAAAGTTGAGTAAATCCTCCCTTCCGCCAGCTTGTCAAAAATCTCCTCCGCCATCGGCATGGGGTACCTATCGCTCTTCGTCATGCGGTTCAGGCCTCGATAATCCTCCCACATCCGTCTTGCTAGCATTTCTCCTGTCAAGTACTTGTGTACCGCTACCACAGTTGCCGCTGCATACTCTGATGTTGATTCTTGAATCAAGCTGGCTGCTAGCACCTCTTTGCATTTGGCTATAGCGATGTCGCGATCCCCTGGACTCAGTCTCCGTCTCCTTTGATACACAGGCTCAGAGCTCTGCAAATCAATCTCCATCTCTGTCCGGTTACACTTGCCCAGTTCTGCCAGTGAGTATGCGAAGGCGTCTCTGGCCTTCTCGAGTACCCCCGTTAGTTCCTCCTTCTGTCCCTCCTCCAGCCCCTCCCCTATGTCCCACTGACTCTCCTCAGGGGGAGCATCCCTAAGGGGGGGGGGCTCTGCCTCCAGCTCCTCGTTCGTATCTTGCCGCTCCTCAGCCTCCTGCGTTGCTCTCGCCAAGAGGCTGATTCATCTGCTATTCAAGCACTCTTCATCCCGCCTACCTTCCTCCCTTGCCTCCACTTTCATCCTTTGCCATGCCTTCGCTATGTCCATGGCTTGAACTGGGTCTGCCTCTAGCATTTCTTCTATATCCCTCCACCTCCAAATCATCAGCAGCTGCTTGTGCATTGCCTCCTATCGCTTCTCTGCCCGGTACATCAACCATACCAGTGTGTGCTGATCTATCGCTCCCCCTAGAGCTCGCCACCTCTCTGCTTCCATCACTCCCTCTACTGCGGTTGCATTTCTCAAGTACCCTATTGCCCGCTCTCGCTCCACTGCCAAGGGTTCCTCCCATTCTCCAGTGGACAGGACCTGCACCATTCCGGGCCCTGGCTGTCCATCCTGCATCCGGAAGGCATAGCTGCCTGGGGTCGCTACCAGCGTGGGCCAGGCCTGACGTGGTGCCCCCACTTCATTGCATGGGTACTACACTCGAGCGTCGGGCATGGTTACCGGAGCAGCCCGCCTGCCTGGTTCCAAGATGTCCGTCTCAAAATCGTACGTGGGCTCTGTCAAGCCCTTTGCTTCACGGCACTCTTCCACTCTCGGGCCGGCTGCTTCCTCCCATCTCCGCCTCTCACTGCTCTTCTCCAGGTACACTCCAGCATCCTTGAATCGGTTTTCAGGCACCCGGTCTGCGGACGGCTCCCTGTACACGGGTCTCCCTCTCAGGAACCGAGCGGGCAATACAGCCGCTGTACTCTCTTCTCGCCGTAAGTCTGCATCCCAGTATCATGGCTGGTACGTGACCTTCTCTGCCCAGGTGTCCACGACTGCCCCGATTTTTTACAACAGCTCCATACCTAGCAATAGATTGTAATCATCGGAATCCGAGATGAGGCAGTGCACCCTGAGTCTCGCTTCGTTCTCTTTCCCGGGAGCCAACACTACCTCCTGCAAACGCAAGGTCCTTGGCAGGCATTTGCCTACCCCCCCTTTCTGCTGTCGGTATCCTCACCCCTTCAGGTGTCACGTTTTCCTCTTGGTGGAGCCCCAAATGCTCGGCCAGTCGCCTACCGATCAGCACCTGGGAGGCACCCATGTCAATGATCGTCGTACCTAGGTAATTTCCTTCTACCTCCACGGACCCTTCCACTGCTTCCACCACGCACGGACGTGCCGCCATACGCTCAAAGGGATGCATGCGTGGCCCATGGCTGCCCCCTGCACGTGCCACTGCCTCCGCTACAGCTTCCGCTGCACGCTGCACCGCTGGGGAGGGCTCCATCCTCGGCCCTCTGTGCCCCTGTTGCATATCTCGGCGTCCATCTCTGCCCCCGATGCGCAGCCCCAGGTCTTCTCGGTCTCGATCTCTCCCCGAGGCCATGAAGAAGGGCTCTGGCAGCTCCCCCTTATCCTCTTGGTCTGTTCAAGCCATTAGTGCTCCCTAGTCCTCCTCTTCCTCGCTGCCCTCCGCCTCCCCCTTGAGCTTCCTGAGCTCTTCTTCCAGTGCTTCTATGCGACTGCGTCTGCCCCCACGGCTCCGTTCCTCTCTCTGCTTCGTGTAGCAGTCGTCGGCCGCATGCCCCTTTCGCTGGCAATATGTACAGGATTGCAACTTGGGGCAGTCTCGTTTGAAGTGCCCGGGCTCCCTGCACTTATAGCACACAGGCTCTTCACCCGAGGGCGGAGTCGCACTTTTTGCCCTCCTCGCCCGTCCCCTCTGATTCCTGCCTTCCAGCCCTCCTTCCTCATCTCCTTCACTGTCTGCCATCATGGCTCCACCCCAGCTTACTCCCCTGCGATCACGCTCGTGGGGCATGGTCCGTTCTGCCCTCTTCCCGAGGTCATACATGCTCAGGGACTGCTCATTCCGCCATGCTATCGCATACGCCTGACGAAGCGTGGCGTTCGGCCGTAGGTTGTACGTGTGGTCTCGCACCGTCCCCACCAGATCTCTCGACAGCCCATCTAGGAACTTCGCCACCACTATCCGTGGCTCGTTGCAGCTGATGACGTCAGCCAGCTGATCCACCCGCCGGTAATACGCTAGCAGTGACTCTCTTGAGGCCCTCCGCAGCTGCTCAAACTCTCTTAGCCGCGCCGCGTCTGCGTGGGGAAATGGACCTGCAGCTCGGCGAGGAACCTCTCCGTCGGATCTCTTAGCATCAAGATCCATCCCTCCTCATCGCGGCAAACCCGGCCCAAAGCATCCCGCTCCTCTTCCTGCAGCAGCAGATCGCGCACTTCCAGTAAGAACGCCTCCACGTCTCCGGCCAGCGTGTTCCCCAGGGAGCGAAAGAAGTGCCTTAAGTCCAATCCATCTTGCTCCCAGCAGAACTTCTCGCAGTGGATGTGCATCACATACGCCTTAAGCCGCGTCCCAATCTCCTGGTCGCCCGTAAAGCGAGCTGGAACCTCCACTTTTGGAAGGCTGGTGTAGCAATATCTCGTCCCCTCCTCCCACAAGGACCGCCTTGACGGCCCTCCCACGGACGCGCCCCTCCCCTCGATGGCACCTCCGCCACCCATCTCGCTTAAGCGCGCAGATGTGGCGACCTCTGCGGATCCGGCTGCCCTCGAGTCCGAGACCCCTCTGCTGCGCTCCGCGATGCCCGAAGGGATTCCTCCTCTTCCCGCCGATGGGATTCCTTCTCCCGGATGGCGATCTGCTCGCATGGCGAAACTGCTAGAGCCACAAATCTCCTCGTCCCACTCTTGCGCTCCTTCGCCAGCCTTCTCGCGCGGAGATTCGCGCTTATCCTCGGACGATTCCCGTCGCTGTTCTTCGCCTCCTTCGTTTGGTGACACGTTCTCCTCCCCCAGCGGGGGAGTCTCTCCCACAGGTAGGCGCATGCCGCTACGCTGTGACATGCCCACCATAACTCTGTTTGTACGAAAAAGCCCAAGACTCAATCTCGCATCCTGATCCTCTCAACTGCACCTCTGTCCGACCTCCCTACATGGATCTAGCGTTGCTCAAGAGTAAATCCACTAGTAAGAGAGCATACAGGCTTTCCCATGATAACGAGAGAACAAACAGAGTAGCAACAACTACCCCTCCTTACTACTTTTGTGCTCCTCCTCCTAGCAGTCCCACTCCGAAGCCAAACCCTGCCCTCCCAGCTGCTTCCGCTGCGCGCCGTTTTGGGAGTTTCTCCTACTATGATGGCCCTGTGATTCCTGCCATCGACTCACCTCTCTCATTCGCCGCAAGCCACTGCCCAAACCGCTCCTCATGCTTACTTACGTGTCATGCCCCAACTTGCTTCCTTCCCACCTGGCCAACCGCTCCCAACTCGCCCATCACTGTACCTTTATCAAAAGTGCCGTTGGCTATGTACACTAAATATACTTGCTTACAATATTCTCTGAACCTCACATTCCGCGCCTGCACCTCCCGTGCTGTCCCATGAAACTCGGTAATGGGTACAACGAGGTTCATGCGACACAGCTGCAATATGCCTCGATTCATTGAACAGAATTGGTTTGATCAACGAAGGATCTGTAATCGAATATAGGATTTCTTAGGTCATGTCTGCTATCAAATCAGGTTGTCCTTCTGCAAATTTCGTGTCTTGCTTACCAACCTCGAGACTAGAAACTATACTTGCATAATTGCATACAACCCTATGCACATATGCACACACGCCCATGCATACATGCACACATGCACGTCCTTCATTGCTCGCATTTTCCATGACTACTTTTCAAGTCCTGTCCCACACCCGTGGCCAGTCACACACCCATGGCCTGTCACACACCCATGGCCTGTCACGCACCCATGTCCTGTCAAACACCCATGTCCTGTCACACACCCATGGCCTGTCACACACCCATGGCTTGTCACACACCCATGGCCTGTCACTCACCCATGGCCTGTCACACACCCATGTCCTATCACACACCCATCTGCTGTCACATACCCATGGCCTATCACACACCCATGGTCTGTCACACACACATGGCCTGTCACACACCCATGGTCTGTCACACACCCATGTCATATCACACACCCATGGCCTGTCACACACCCATGGCCTCTCACACACCCATGGCCTCTCACACACCCATGTCCTATCACACACCTATATCCTGTCACACACCCATGTCTTGTCACACACCCATGTCCTGTCACACACCCATGTCCTGTCACACACCCATGTCCTGTCACCAGTGTCACACCCATGTTCTGTCAGACACCCATGTCCTAGTGGGCGCACACTACTAGCCTTTAAAACACCCATCATGAAACTCTTTTATTATTCAGTTTCGCTTTACCCTTCCCCTCTTCCTTCGCCCCTGTCCCGTCACGCCCATTTTCTTCCCCCGTCGCCCCCTTTCACTCGCCCACCACCCATTTTATATCTCTCGCGCCCATTTTCCAACCCCACGTCACAAAAATGTGGATCTCACCTATATTGTAGGTATAGTTGTTCGTATAGCAAGGCTACTCCATAGCAGACGTATCTATGCCGTACCTATTGTATACCTACTCCGTATTTATGGTCCTCGTATTTTGGGACGCACCAATGCATTGCCTTGTACAGAAGCCATCTCCTTTGGAGCTCGCCCACTCCATCCCTTCTCATGGCGAAATAGGGAAAGATACACACAATGGATCATATGCTATATTGACATAGTAATTTCCTCTGTAGATATGGCCCTTTGCGCGTACGAGGACGGAGTGTATGGTTCAAGTTGGAGTCGCGTACTTACATTACATTACTAGTCAACTTCACGGAACAAGAGCAGATGCTTTCAGAGCGGTACCATGGGTTCCCTTGATCTTTCGCGTGCGCTCTATTCTGACATGGTTTTGCATCCT